AGAGGTCAATGTCATTCAAATCGTCAGATGTCAAAGTCATTCTTTTAAATAAAACTTTATGATAAAAACGGGAAAATAACAGGAGGGTAAAAAGGTTGTTGTCGGTTGAGATATGAACGAAGTGGGGAATAAAGACAAAGAAATAAAGAAAAAGCAATTTATATTATCGATTATTAAACAGCTGTTTTAATTATAATTAATAAAACAGAAATAGAATAGAAGTAGAAATAATTTTTATTGAAATAAACTCATTATAAGCACTTTTAAATAGTCATATTTTGATTCTACCACTCTTTCGGAATGCAGATTCATCACAAGAAGAATGAGCAAGATACTTGTGTTGCTCTTTTGAATGGATTTCTTTTATATAAATAATTACAGTATATCAAGTAAGAGGCATGCGATAATCAACATAGAAATCGCTACGCACTCATCATTAGTGTAATGTTTTCAACTATTTTTTTTAATTCTAAAATATCTATAAATATTAACTACAAGCCAGTTATTAATAATGATGTATTAGTCTGTGATATTATCGTATAACTACATCATGTTAATATTAACTGTAGTTGTATCTTTTAATTACAAAACATAAAAGTATTTTGTTTATCTCCTTATCTACAAAGTGCGACGTCGTTAACAATTATGATAATTATATAAAACTTGAATTTTATTTACTTACCAGACTAGTAGTAGCATGAAGTTATACCTTTGCCGCGATTCTTTAATAAATTTTAAAAAGTCAAATGAATTGTTTATGGTATTGTTTTTTGTCAGATAAAAAAAAATCCCTAAGTATGGCACGTGAATTTATGATATTGTTTTCGTCAGACAAATAAAGTTGTCCCTAAGTATGGCACTACGTTTAAGTTTTTTTAAGGATGTTAACGGAATGGTGCACCCGCCTGCGCTAACGGTATACGCTGGTGGGGCACCAGTGGAGGATGATAAGATGAGTATGAGGTCAGCTCAGTTAGCCCATTATGACAAATTCACCAAGATGATCACGATGGTTTTCAGGGGGAACCGCGTGGAGGTCAATATGACATGGTTCATTGCTAGCAATAAGATCATCTATCCACATTACCAACAATCCCCTTTCCCCTCTACTTTTAAGTTAGGTTAAGTTATTTTAATTAGCTCGCCCTAAAAGTCTCGAATCCAGACACCCCGAGGTTGTTGCTCCCGGAGATCACGTAGGTGCAAAGGGGTTCATCCCGCGGCTCCACCTCCCTAGGGGGGTGCGGGTGACCAGTCATTCATTCACATCATTTGACACTGGCCATCAAATAGTCGTTAGCTTGCATTTTGGTTACTAAAAAAAAAAGTTAAATCACCTTCTATTTTTGAATAATTAAAAAGTTAAATGAACTGTTTATGGCGAACAGGGCGATAGCATTTGAACGTCGAAACAGGAAACTTGTCACAGAGGTCATATATCACTATTCAGTGGGGTCATAAATTGTTTGTGGACCGAAATGTGTGACCCCGTAAGCAGAGATCACGCGACACCGAGATTATATCGGATACACGCGGACAAACAACTTTCAAATGTACACTCACCGCTGTTAACCTTTGGTCGCAGGTTCGATGCCCATCCAGGGCCGGACTCTACCAGGGCCCGGTATCACAATAACAAATTATTAATTTTATATTGTATATCACATATGTATCATATTTTTGTATGTTATTATGCATGTTTTCTATTACTTGTGTATTTACAAAGATCTAAACACTGTCCTGATATAATTCATCATATAAGAATAATCTATACGTATAAATAAAATTGTAGTGTCTGTTTGTAATATTGAAATAACCGTTTTTTACTACATGCATATGAATATACGGTACGTACATACGGTACATACACCAAAATAACATTTTTACAATTTTTGTCTGTCTGTTTACTCCCGCAAATCTCTGAACTCTGATAAAGCGTTTTTATTTTATTTTATTTACAAGATTATAGATTACAGATTACTAGCTTCTCGCCCTGACTTCGCACGGGTGTACATGTATTATATATATAAACCTTCCTCTAGAATCACTCATCATTGCCTTGCCTTTATCCTATTATTTGTGGTCGGCGCAGTATGTCATTCTCTTCCACTGCTCTCTATCGGTCATCATACATGAACATACTCTTCTTTTATTCATATCATCTTTCACACAATCTATCCATCTTTTCTTAGGGCGTCCCCACCCTTTACATCCATCCACATTCATATTATATCCATGTATTAAAAAAAACTGCTTCAAAATCCGTTGCGTAGTATTAAAGATTTAAGCATACGTAGGGACGGACAGACAGCGACAGCGACTTTATTTTATACTATGTAATGATAAATGCTAAGGTTAATAAATATACCAATATTGAGGTAAATAATAACATAAAATTTAATAATATATAGTAAAAGAATTTGCGGGTTTTACCCTCGTGTAGTTGTTGTGTTACACGCTGGTAAAACCCGCAAATTCTTTTATTGCTAATAAATTCTATTATTATTAGCAGATCTTGGTATTGTGATTGCACTACAACAAAACTAATGTAATGTAAAAAAATTACACGCTAGAAAACCCTGCATATTTTATAATATACATTTAATAACACGTTTGTTTACAATAATCTTTTTATTAATTGCTCTCAAGAATATATATCAAGGAAATTCTACAGAAAAACCTATTCAAGTAAAAAAAAATATTAGGCAGTATGGCTCTTGCTTTTTGCCTGTCTGGATATTCAAATAATAATAGGTTGGTGATATTCGATATTTGAAAATCGAAAACTTATTCGGAAAGTCACAAATAAGATTAATTAGATTTCTTTAACGTCTGGATTAATAACTACTAATCCAGACGTTAAAGAAAGGCTGTATAGTTTTGTAGCTTTGCCTTTCCAATTTAAATAAAAATATGACTATTACTTATAAAAATACTAACTGTGCCCGCGATTTTGTCCGCGTGGAATAGTGACCTTAGATAGCATAAAATATTGAATAATCTGACCCAAAATAGCGAAGAAAAATGTTATATTTAAAGTGACGAATTTATAAAATTTGAATGTCATTTTTATTTATATTTAATTAACAGTCTACCAAATAAGTTTCAAGGTTCTAGCTTTAAAAATTACGATACATCCATACAACATTTCATCTTCCTTTTTAACCCCTTACAACCCTTTTTTCGCACTAAAAAGCTGTGTCTCCTTCTCAGGGTCTACACTACCTGTATACCAAATTTTATTAAAATCGGTTCATAGTTTTTGTGAAGGCGCGACAGACAGGCAGAGTTACTTTCGCATTTGTAATAATAGTAAGGACTAAGGATTTATACGCACGGGGCCCCGATAAATATCGTATAATTCCAATCAGACACTCCGCCACGGTACTGCAAGTGTCTCCTCCGTTAATTTATAAATGAATTACTCTTATAAATGTCTTCTACGCTTGCTTTGTATTCTATTATTTGGGTTCAATAAAATGAAACGCTTAGCTTTATTATGTGAAAGTTGGAGTTTAGCTAAATTTATAACACAAATTAACATTTTAACCTCGGCGAAATAATTTGACAAAAATGACAATTATTGTACCTGTTCTTAGAGTGGATTTTGTATTAGTTTGTATTTTTGTTGTATTGAATATGGAGTTCACATGTTAAGTTAGTTTTCTTGTCTGAGGTGGGCTCGGTAAGAAAATTTGACAAAAATTACAATTATTGTACCTGTTCTTAGAGTGGATTTTGTATTAGTTTGTATTTTTATTGTATTGAATATGGAGTTCACATGTTAAGTTAGTTTTCTTGTCTGAGGTGGGCTCGGTAAGAAAATTTGACAAAAATTACAATTATTGTACCTGTTCTTAGAGTGGATTTTGTATTAGTTTGTATTTTTGTTGTATTGAATATGGAGTTCACATGTTAAGTTAGTTTTCTTGTCTGAGGTGGGCTCGGTAAGAAAATTTGACAAAAATTACAATTATTGTACCTGTTCTTAGAGTGGATTTTGTATTAATTTGTATTTTTATTGTATTGAATATGGAGTTCACATGTTAAGTTAGTTTTCTTGTCTGAGGTGGGCTCGGTAAGAAAATTTGACAAAAATTACAATTATTGTACCTGTTCTTAGAGTGGCTTTTGTATTAATTTGTATTTTGTTGTATCGAACTCGGTGTTCATATGTTAAGTTAGTTTTCTTGCTTGAGTTGGGCTCGGTAAGAAAATTTGACAAAAATGACAATTGTTGTACCTGATCTTAGAGTGGTTTTTGTATTAATTTGTATTTTGTTATATCGAACTCGGTGTTCATATGTTAAGTTAGTTTTCTTGCCTGAGGTGGGCTCGGTAAGAAAATTTGACAAATATGACAATTATTGTACCTGATCTTAGAGTGGATTTTGTATTAATTTGTATTTTGTTATACTGAACTCGGAGTTCACATGTTAAGTTAGTTTTCTTGCTTGAGTTGGGCTCGGTAAGAAAATTTGACAAAAATGACAATTGTTGTACCTGATCTTAGAGTGGTTTTTGTATTAATTTGTATTTTGTTATATCGAACTCGGTGTTCATATGTTAAGTTAGTTTTCTTGCCTGAGGTGGGCTCGGTAAGAAAATTTGACAAATATGACAATTATTGTACCTGATCTTAGAGTGGATTTTGTATTAATTTGTATTTTGTTATACTGAACTCGGAGTTCACATGTTAAGTTGGATATTCTTGCCCGAGGAGGGCTCGGCGAAATACCTTGACAATTGCACCTAAATAGGTTATACTATATATACTAACTATAATTAGCATGTTTAGGTAGGTAATTATATAGTGAATTTTGTATTAACTTGAGAAAGAAAGAAAGAAAGAAGAAAGAAAGAAAGAAGAAAAGAAAAGATTTTTATTTTCTTTCTCTTCTTTCTTTCTTCTTTCATTTTTAGGTAGGTAATTATATAGTGGATTTTGTATTAACTTGCATATTTTTGTAAGTGTGCTAATGATGTGCATTGCGTTGCAGCGCGCCGCGAGTGCAGTGGTGTGATGCGGTGGAGGCGCTAAGGTATGAGCGCGGCGCGCGCGCCCGAGCCCCGCGACCGCGAACCACCGCGCCACCACCACCGGCCTCACCCCCACCAGGTAAACAACCCCTATAGTTTATTTTGTAAATGGGAAAAGTTGTCTTTCTCCCATCAGGTAACAATAATTCCTATTTTTTATGTGGGAAAAAATGGTCTCGCGCCCTCAAGGTGAACAACCCTTATTTTTTTTTACGTCGTGAAAATTGGTCTCAATCCCCACCAGGTAACAACCCCTACTTTTAATTTTTTACTCGGGGAAAATGGGCCTGGTGGGGACCAATGCATACTTTTAATTTTTTGCGTGTGGGGAATTTTCTTCCGCAGTTTCCAGGTTCCCAGGTGGGTTGAGGAACAGGAACCTCATTTTATGTATTAAGCTAAATGATTTGCGATATAATTACTCACGTAGTAAGGAAAACATAATTTCGTTTGTATAAATTAAGTTATTAATAATTTTATTGAATATATTTTAATAAAATTATTATCGAATCTATTAAATATCTACTCGTATTCATAAAAATGAAGCTAAAATATACATTATTTTGTGTCAGAGCAACACACAAGTCTCTTGCTCATTCTTCTTGCGATGAATCTGCGTACCAAATGAGCGGTAGACTAAAAATATGACTATTCAAAAGTGCTTATAATATTTATGTTTGAATAAAGATGGTTTCTATTTTTATGTTCTTACAGACAAATTATGAGGATATGTATTAATTAAAAAATGTATAAGACAGAATACACACTTGGTAATTAAATTTATCTAAAAATTTTACATTGATTCGAGATATAATAACTACACACAAAAACAGTTTTTTTGTCTGTCAACCAATGTGATAAACATTTATTATACACCCACGTTCACGCGCGTGTAATTACGTGTATAGATTAAAAATAAAATTGCGGGTTTTAGCAATGTATCCATTTTTATTAAGTTGAATTAATATGGTCATAGACTTTCTAAGAACCGAGTGGTAATCTCAACACGGACGGCGGACATAGGAATGGGCACGCGATTGTAATCTTTATTCCTTTTGTAATTAACAAATAAACCGATTTACAATAAGAATTGGCGCTCAAACAAATAGTGTAATTAAATGCCTATTTTGCACCACCCACTCATGTTAAGGGGTCGTGTCGTGAATAAAAAACTTGCTATTTGTTCTTAGTATATTTCACACACACAATAATATTAGACTAGTTATTTCATAAAAAACCTAAGGATTGTAAACAAGTATAATTTATTGTCTTTTTTTGTATATGTAACCTCAGAAGTTTAGAAAATTATTTATAAACCGACTTTCTACATACCTTTTTTTGCTAATGTAAACATAATTTCTAAAATAAAAGTGACCTATGTTACTTTTTATAATATTAGCTATCTGCGAGTGAAAGTCCGATCAAAATCGGTTCAGCCGTTTTAGAGATTAGCATGAACAAGCAGACAGAGGCACTTAAATATATTTAGAATTAATCTATTTGATGTAATTGCCATATAACATACTTTCAAATGCATTTATTGGAAGGCTGTTAATTTGAAATTACAGACACTGCAATTTTATATATTTGTATAGATTTAGACTAAAAAGTTTGAGTGACGCAAAAGTCGTCATATAGTTTTGCCCGTATTTTGAATAGTGGTCTACAGTGATATTATTGGTTTTGGGATATGCTTCATAATTAGTAGGATTGTCCAAGAGGCAGTTCTGGGGGCCTTTGCCTTCCCGAGATCCCGTTCCAAAACTTTGGAAACCATCAGGTACCGCCAGCGGCCAGAATGCCAGCTAAAATATATCGTCTTTGTACGGAATATAAGGTAGTTATAACGTAACAAGACAGTTTCCGTATCCGTCAGGCAGGAGTTGGCCTTCAGCCGCTCCATAAGTCCTTCCGCGGGTTTGGAGTGCCATCTGCACTCACCCCCTATTATCCGGTGAAGCTGTAAAGGCCAGCTGCTGCCAACAGCATTAGAGTAATCCGAAAAAAAAACAAGATAGTTACTTTTTCAATTTTAAAACTATTTTTTTCAAAACTAGTTTCAATTTGATACAATCAACAGTTTTTGTAGACATATAATACTGAATTCATTAATTTGCGTCCTCGTAAAATAAAAAAAAACACACCCAGAAACTAGTTATCCGATTTGCAGAAGTGATTATTTGTCTAGCTAACTGTCGGTTATTATTTCTTGTTGTATTTATACATATATATGTTTACTAATCGGAATCAGTGATCTTGTTGTAAATTGTATTTTTAACGACTTCGCTTTAAAAAGAGTATGGCGGTGATGCTATTGTAAAATTCCAATACCTATCTGGGTAAATATTAGGCAATTCCCGCGAACAAAGTTGTATGACCTGTTAATTAGTAAACAAACAAAGTGTTACAATATATAATCAATTGTTACCATTTAAAAAGTAATTTATATGTTTTTAAATAAGATTTCAGATTAGGTAAAGAAAAAGTCACGGGCGATTACCATGTTTTTTTTATACCACGATTGTGGCAATCATGCATACGGCCTATCTGATGGTAAATGGTTACTGTAGTCTATGAACGCCTGAAACACCAGGGGTATCACGTGCACCTTATAACCTTAATATACCCTTCTTGAAAAACCGGGTAGGTGGTAATTAAAATCTTTTATGGGCAGATACTCGTCTACCTTCACACATCATCATCTGTTGCTACTATTGAAATACTGTTGAAGTATTTGAAACTCAACAAAACATAAATTCAATGTGGTAAGATTCCATGATTTTTTAATTATACGTATAGGTTAAGGAATAATGTTTGGTCTGCCATAAATTGCAATGGTTCACGAATTCTACAATATTAATATGAATTAGATAGATATACTTTATTTGTAACATACAATAAAGAAGAAGCACAAATAATATTATAAAGGACACATGTATCGTTACAATAAGGAGACTATTAGCTGACCTATAGTTATAAATTTGGTGACCTGGCACGTTGTTTCCCATATGAATTAACAAGCTTTTGCCCGCGACTTTCTTGAATTTATCAAAACCCTTTCTGAGAGGATGTCTACGTCATAGTAGCTTTATGCATGCAAAGTCTCAGCCCGATCGGTTTAAAATTGACAAAGTTTCATAAACTTTCATCCCTTATTTTATCCCCTTGGGGGTAGAATTAATCATAATCCTTTCTTAGCCTACGTCATAACATTGGCATACAGGTAGGTACTTGTATGCCAAATTTCAGCCCGATCCGTCCAGTGGTTTGGGCTATGCGTTGATAGATCACTATCTATCAACCTCACCTTTTCACCTTTAAGTTATATATGTATATATAGATATCGATATTGAAACTTTGGGATTGATGGTAGAAGAAAATTCAGAAGTGTATGTATTTTTAATAGCACGTCTTAAAAATATAATTTTGGCAAAAAATCAAAAATACTTTTACTCATTCTTATTTCTATTTCTACTTCATTTGGTCTCATGTCAATCGTTATTATTATATAGTATAAAACAAAGTCCATGTCGCTGTCTGTCCGTCCCTATGTATGCTTAAATCTTTAAAACTACGCAACGGATTTTGAAGCGGTTTTTTAGTAGATAAAGTGATTCAAGAGGAAGGTTTATATACATAATACATGTACACCCGTGCGATGCCGGGGCGAGTAGCTAGTTCTATATATTTAATAGTTAAGTAAATTGATATAGTAATATAGTTCATCTCCCCCTTCCCCACTTCCCCTCTCAGCATACCTCCCCGCGGAGTTTTATACATAGTGAACAGTTTAGTTAATTGCTATAGTTCATCTCCCTCTCCCCCACTTCCCCTCGCAGCATACGTCCCCGCGGAGTGTTATATATAATTAATAGTTTAGTCAATTGATATAGTTCACATCCCCCTCCCCCACTTCCCCTCGCAGCATACCTCCCCGCGGAGTGGCCTGCGTGCAGTGGGCGTGGCGAGTGCGCACGCGCATCGTTCGCTCTCGAAGGTCGTCTGACCCACTGATGTAATTTTCTTGCAGGCATTATCGTATCATTGTGGCGCAATGTACGAGGAAACGACTGCGATTCGCTACACTCCATTAAACGCCCCCCTTTCCCCCTTATTGCCAATTTGATTTGTGATAGTACTGTAGTTAGTAGTATATACCTTGGGCAATTAAAACAGCGCCATCTAGTCCTACGGTAAGCAGAGCTTGTGTTATGGGTACTAAACAACTGATATAAATAATTAGTTTTTTTTAAACACATAATAAACAAAGAAAACACCCAGACCGATAAAAACAATCATACTCGTGAATACAAATGTTTGCACCGTGCGAGGAATCGAACCCGCGTCCATCAAAAGTAAAGCGGTGTGCTAAACCGCTAAACCATCGAGGCCGTCATTAAATATTATTCTTATATAACCCATTTTATACTCTGTCTACTGCATTTGAATGTTGTTCGTGTAGAGCCGACTACTAGAGTAGCTAGCCAAGCTCCGGCCTTGCATTTGGACACGATGTTCGTGTAGAGCCGACTACTAGAGTAGCTAGCCAAGCTCCGGCCTTGCATTTGGACACGTTGTTCGTGTAGAGCCGACTACTAGAGTAGCTAGTCAAGTTCTTCCTTGCGTTTGGACCGATCGTGTAAAGCCAGCCAAGCTCGTCTTAGATATGCAGAAGCTTGTGTCTTTATATGCTCCACTTAGCGACCTCACTGTTTAGAGGTGCTACGCACTCCAGGGACAGTCGTTTCGTCTCTTTGTACGTAATTGGAACGGTAAACACGCTGTCGCCCAAGACATACCTACATTTATTTTAATAAAATATACAGTTGAAGTAGGAAATTTCTCTATAATCTTCTAAAAGATCTTGGCCTATCTAGAACTGCAATAGGTATGGTCTATAATGTATCTAATGCTGCACTAGCAGGTTCCTACCAGATTTGTCTGGGCAGGCAGAGAAACACGAGCAGTGAAGGTGAGTGTTGCCGTACGTCGACAAGGGGCTCTTTAAACCTACCCCCGGGTCACAAGTCCAACTCAACTGCTCGGAATTAACCTCTCTACCACACGGTGGATCCATGG